AAAAAAAAAAAAAAAATCTAGGGATGGGGTGCTACTAGCGTCTAGTGAGTAAAGGCCAGGAAGGCTGCTAATACCCTACAAAGCACAGGACAGCCTGCTGTGACCCAGCATCATCCAGCCCAAGTGTCAACAGTGACAAAGTAAAGAGACCCTGGATGAGGATTTTCTCTAAGATCAATGTTAAATCCAGTGGACTTTTATTTGGAAGTCTTTATTTATCGTGGCCTCTGAAGGAGTATTCAGCATCATCGACTCTCCCTCCTTCATGCAAAGCCGAATCCTGTGACTTCTGTGATGCTGGCTCCCCTTCCTTCATCCCCTTTGTGGGCTCATTCCCCTAAGTGGCAATTAAATATCGGGGCTCCTCGAGGCGGACCCTAGGTTTTCTTTTTGTCTCAGTCCACACTGACCCTCATAGATTCCACCCACTTTGACTTTGTATTTTGTTTGTTTCAACGGAGATGGGGTTTCACCATGTTGCCCAGGCTGGTCTCAAACTCCTGGCCTCAAGCGATCCTCCAGCCTCAGCCTCCCAAAGTGCTGGGATTACAAGTGTGAGGCAACCGACCCAGCCACACCTTGGACTTTGGTTACCATCTCTACACCAATGAGTCCCGCAATTATATCCACAGCCCAAACCTCACCTTGGAGTCAATTCCATACATCTGACTTCCTGCTCCATAACCTCCCCTAGATATTTCCAAGGCCCCTGGGGCTCATCAGGAGGACAGGCTTGACTTCAGAGCCCTCCATTCCCAATCCTCTTTTGGTGTCCCTATTTCAGCGACTGGAAAAACCATCCATCTAGATCCACAAGCAAGAAGCCTAGAAGTTGGCCGGGCGCGGTGGCTCATGCCTGCAATGCCAGCACCTTGGGAGGCCGAGGCAGGCGGACTACTTGAGGCCAGGAGTTCATAACCAGCCTGACCAACATGGTGAAACCCCATCTCTACTAAAAATACAAAAAAATTAGCCAGGCATGGTGGTGGGCACCTGTAATCCCAGCTAATCCGGAGGCTGAGGCAGGAGAGTCACTTGAACCCAGGAGGCAGAAGTTGTAGCGAGCTGAGATCGCACCACTGCACTCCAGCCTGGGCAACAGAGTGAGACTCCATCTCAAAACAAACAAACACACAAAAAACATAAAAATTTTGTTTTTTCTGAGCCACTGCACCCAGCCATAATAGCCCTTAGATTCTTGAGTGACACAGAACTGAAGAAAGTGAGTGCAAGTTACTGTTGCTACCTAGGGAAGGAGGGTCACGGGCAAAGGTGCGGAACATGCAAAGAAGCTTTAGCAGTGAGGGAAGATGACTATCGTTCCCCACATACTTACTGGTGTGTTTGTTTGTTTGTTTGTTTGTTTGTTTTGAGACAGAGTCTCGGTCTGTCATTAGACTGGAGTGCAATGGCACGATCTTGGCTCACTGCAACCTCCAACTCCCTGGTTCAAGCGATTCTCCTGCCTTAGCCTCCCGAGTAGCCTGTAATCCCAGTGGCTGGTCTCGAACTCCTGGGCTCAAGCAATCCTTTCACCTCAGCCTTCCAAAGTGCTGGGACTACAACGTGAGCCCAGCCTGCTCTTTTTCCTATTGGGTTCGCAGTCCTTTTCTTTCTGATTTGTGAGAGCTAATTTTGGTTTATGGATATTACTACCCCTTATCTGTCCTTTGCATTACATGC